GAAGTACCATTCTCCACTGAAATTAAGTATTTGGGCGTAACAATCGACAAATACTAACGTGGAACTTTCACATTAGCAACGTTAGTCATAGGGCTAAAATTGCTTTAGGTACGTGCAGTTGTATGGTTGGAAAAAACTGGGGCTTGCATCCCAGTATGGTCCTATGGCTGTGCAGTAGCATAGTGTGGCTGATTACTACCTACGTCTCCATTGTTTGCTGTAATAAGGCCAACCAATATACAACTGCGGACAGACTAAATAGTCTACAAAGGACTGACTGCTTAATGGCAACTTGAGCGATGCTGTCATCGTCTGGAACAGTTCTTAATGTACTTCTTTACTTAACGCCCCTTGATCTTTTTTTTAGACAAGAAGGTGAGGACTAGTTTGTATAGAATTAACGCCCAAGGTGGTCTAACCTTGCTCTCCTATACCTAGATTGAGATCCGTGCTCGACTCAATTAAGGAAACACCGGTCTTATGCATGATCTCAGATATGCGTCCACTATACACTTCGAATAAAAAGTATATAGTGGAACTACTCTCCAGAGAAGACTGGCTGAATGGACAGCTTATGTGTGAGGTCGGTAGCCTCATATAGTATACCGTTGAGTCAAAAATAGACCTTGATGTAGGCTTTGGAATTTATGGGGAACGCCCCAAATTTAAACTTAGTATGAATTTGGGTAGATTCACCTCTATTTTCCAGGCAGAACTTTTCGCCATACTTCAGTGTGCGGAAATCAATCTGCAGAAATACTTCGTCAACCATATACTCTATATATACTCTGATAATCAAACAGCAACTGCCTGAACCATCTAAACGCTCTGGCTTGAAACAACAGGGTCGTTTTAAGATGGGTTCCGGGTCACGCAGGCGTTGTAGGCCATGTACTTATCGACGAGCTCCTGGACCCAAATTCTCCCAAGCCGCAATCGTAAAAAGCCTTGCCCGATTTACTCTTGAAACTCTTTATCACAATAAATCACTTAAAATCTGGTCTGATGCACCAGGCTTAAAACATTTGAAAACCTTAATCCAGGCTCTTGGTCGAAAATTTGCTTCGAAGCTTGGGATTAGGTAAAAATAAACCGCACATCCAGGCAAGAGCATTAACTGGACACTGTTTTCTTAAAAAGCACACGTCCATCCAGGGACTAAGCAACTCAAGGATACGCCGCTTTTGTTCTTTACCGGAAGATACGCCTCTGCACATCCTAACTAATTGTGGATCCTTAATGCGCAAACGTAACACTCATCTGGAAAACTACGTACTTAACCCAGAAGAAGTGAAATTGCTCACAACCAAGTAACTTCTTCTATTCATTAAAGACGAAGAGCTTTGCAGTGAACTGTAGTCACAGCAGCGATCGCAATGGATCTTTTAGGTCGCAGTGATACTGGTCTTTCTAGACCTGCATAGCTGCTCGCACAAAATAAAAATAAAATACATCTACAAACATGAAAAATTAAAATTAAAAAAAAATACTTAAAAAATAACCAAAAAATGAAATAAAAAAAACGGAAGACACCTTTTATAAGTGTGTGCAAACTGCAAACACATATTAAAACAAAAATCGTGTGCTATGATGAAGTGGTGGAAGGGATCGTCACAGCATAAGCTTGTACCTTGAAGCTTGTAGCTTGGCCCGGCAACTAGATGAGACGCCTAACAGAATGCGAGCAAGTGTTTTGTTTTAAATCTATATTCTATACTCCATGTGAGTTGTGCCGTAGACAATAGTACACAAAGATTCCCTTCTTTATATGAGAGGGGGCAAACGAGCATGGGACTCACCTGATGGTTAGTGGCTACCGCCACCCATGAACGCCTGCAACACCAGGGGAATTGCTTCCGCAAAACACAGCAGCATTAAGCTGCTATTTTACACTGGTATTCAGTGCGTGGTCCTACCCCCGTCGAGCAGACCCATTCGTGCTACAACCACAATATAGTTGCATCGTGGCTCTACCACGTATAAATTTATGTACCCTCAGCAGCAAAATACTCCATCGTTAATGATGGCTTCGGTCATTATAGTTCCGTTAGCGTCGGCGCACTAATGTAACGCCATTGTTCGTGAACGACTAACAATGATTTTGTAGTCATAAAGTAAAACAAACGTGGAATTTCAACTGAATGTGGCAATTAATTATGGCGGATATTAGGCGTAGTAGTGGCGACAAATCAGTTCCCACGTGCTTAACGTGGACCAATCTCGGTTCGCGTGTAGAGCGCACCTGTCGGCCGCACGCGATGTTACCGCTCCCACGGGCTGCGGTGTGGACGTATCGCTCGTTCACATAGCTAGACTATCTTCTATAGAATCCATAGAAAATTCCATAGAATCCACCTCGAAACGTGACGGAATTTCATTATGAAGTACTACAGCAATTAGTAGCCTAGCCTAGGTTATTTCAGTTCAGGGCCGCCTGAGTGAAAATTTCACTTCTCAGTTCATACCCCTGCAAATATTATGAATGTTTTAGCCAACACCGCTATACTAGGAAAGACACTCGCAGCATCCACTTACCATCAGGTGGACTGTGTGCTCGTTTGTCCCCCTTATTCTATGAATAAAACTTTCCGCTAAAAAAACTTAAAATTTTCTAAAATCGGGGGTTATTGTTTTAACCCCGTTTTGGAGCGCTATGCATTTGAAATTAGCGGGAAGTTCCAGGGATGGCCTGCAGGGTCAACCAATTTTTGTAGAAGAATAGGTAACAAACGAGTACCTACACCGTTTCTGCTTACAGCGCATAGTGGCACATTGACCTACATTTATCTTTGATTGAGAATCTTACAGCAGATGCGTGGACTCTGAAGATGCTTCATTGCCAGTAATAAGGTTCTTAAGGGGTATTGATGAAATAAAATTATTCAAATTCATAAAGACTTTTTAATTCCTCAACTTTACGCGTTATCATACAACTGCGTTCAGTCCCATACACACCCACTCTATAATTACACCCATCACTGTACAGTTATTGCAAATAAATACATTGCTTTCCTTTTACATGTAGTTTTTGTAGATTTGGCAGGAAAACTTCACTTGAGTGGTACATTGGAAAAACGAAAATAATTGAGCATATTTTTGGTGATTACTAAAAAAGTGCTTAAACTTTTTAATCTATATATAATTTATATTTAGTTAAAATTGTTAAGTCTAAAAATCGATGGTAGAAATAAAAATAAGAATGTAAAATTTGATATTACGCTTTTTATAACAAACAAATTATGCATAATTTGCAACAAAAACTAGAATAAGGTACAACTTATTGTAGTACCGGTGAATACAGAATATTATCATTTTATATCATTTGCCTTTGTATTTCGAATACTATCAGTAGTCAAAATTAAATTTAAAAAACGATTTTCCAAAAGTCAAGAATGAGTTTTATTTTACTAACCACCAACAAATATGGCACAATAAAATCATAAATAGATTGTTTGCAAACAATATATTGTCCTTTTTTTTTCAAAATTAATCTATAAATAACACATATAAAAAGACAAAATAAATTTTATTTTTATTTTAAAATATTTTAGTTAAATTTTTGTAGCATTACATCAATAAAAAAATATAAAAGTATCTAAACAATCGAAAAACACTAAATGCTTGTATGGAATAATAAAATTTTTACAGATTATACTACGAAAGAAAGTTTTTTTTTTCAACATTATAGAGCACCAGTCCAAAAATATTTAAATTGACTTGACTATGGACTAAAGGGGAACACGTACAGTATGAATTTAAATCACTAGCATTTCATTAATTTGTATTTAATATAATAGTAGAGGTACATTGAATCCAGAAGTTTATTTTCTCAAATTTATTGATTCACTTTGTAATTAAAATATGTAACGCACAATGATCTTATAACCTTTTTACTTATCATATCATTGGTAACGCACAACAATAATGTGTTGTTTTTTTTCCTTTTTTAAGCTTTTTTTTTTTTCTTTTATATTAAAAAAAATAAACTTTATTAAAAACAATTGCGGTTTTCCGTTTTGCCAGCAAGTACTGAGTTGCGATCGCAGATGAAAACGTCAATAATTATTGTACTTTTTTTAATTGTAGGCATTTTGATTACCATTATGCTAATGATAAATGATCGTACTTTAATAAGATTATTAAAAAAAAATGCTCTGCTGTGCCTAACTAATACATACTCGACGCTTTTTAAAAGTATTTAGTTTTCTATCCAATTTCGTCCTCTAAAATCACCATTGTCTCTACAAATATATATAACTACACACCAAGATTGCACGACTGACGTGTATTATTGCATTCCGCCAATCAAATCAAACATTTTTATAAATTCCTAATACAGTCTAAAATAGCGCCACTAAATTGGGAGTCGTATCAAAAGTTTTCAGAAACGAAAATCAATTCCGGATTAACGAACATTACACCGCGAGAATCGATCGTCTTATAATAGAAAACAGCTCTTGTACCTTATCACAATTATTATACATTAGGTACATTTACAATAATAAAACATTTTATTTACATTATTAAATATTATTACTAACCTAATTATTTTTACAAAGGAACGAAATGAACTAATAAACACTACTGACCCACTGGTTGAACTTTAAAGTTCATTTAATGTCCGGCAACGAACAGGAGTCTTGGCTCCTGAGATTTAAAAGGTTGTCAATCATCATGGAAGTCTTTTGGCTACTTTTAGAGTCCGAAATCGTCGTCGTTGCGTCAAAAGTGTCCGGTTCAGAAGATTTAGGCGCGTAGAACGCCGATATCGGATCAAAAGTGGGGCAAGGGTCGGCTTTTTCGCTTTCTCTGCTCCTGGCGTAGAACTCTTCTGAAGAGGTCGGCTCCGTTGCCTCGTGGAACTCGCTGGATGACGTCACGGCATCTTCTGGCGCCTCACGTTGGTATCTCTGGAACGGATCGAAGCGCTGGCTCGGCAGATACGGCGGGAAGCCGTAAGGCGTGGATCAGGCCGCCGCTAGCTGTCTCCACATCGTATGTCACATAGTCGCCATATACGGCCACGAAAAAGAGCTCCCGGATAGCAGCATATCTCTAATCAGGGTCTCGATAGGAGTCTTTCCCACCAGACGTACAAAGAACAACTGTTCTATAACTTGTGAGCTGACTGTCCGCAAGGAAGGTAGTCTGAGAAGTAGCTTTCCAAACCTCGTAGGCTGGTTTGGATATTGACTCCTGCAGTATTCTTCTAACGCGCATTGTGATTTCTCTTGTAAGCTCTCTATATGTGGAACATCTGACAGGCCGCAGGCGTCTGCAAAAGAAAAAAAAAAGAAGAATTAGGTATTTCGTACCAATTGTGTATCGATGTTATATTTTTAAAATTGCATTATTGTTTTTTTTTAATAAATTGGGAGAGACAAACAACCAAACAGTCTTCTTGATGGTAAGAGGATACTATGCACCATTAAACACCTACAAACAATTTCGAGAAGGTTACAGATGCTTGGCTGACGACTAAAATTTTTTTATAGGATATGAAAGGTCTGTGGTTGGTCTGCGTCATCTACTCTATTCTTACACAGATGCGTTGTCACCCGTGGGCTGAGATGGATGCTCTTGTAAAAGGTTTGTACTAAGAGAAAATGAAATGCCTCACAGTTTGTTATTTTACTGGTCCTTTTATCCTTCAAACCGGAACATTAAAGTAGGTGAAGTACTGCTTGGCGGAAAGTAGAAATAGACAAGAACGTATTGCCAACCTAGATTAACTTTTAGGCAACATTGCACATTTTGACACTATTCAAAGTAAGGTTTCATATTTCGAACAAGGGGTTTTTAATAAATCTTTGGCGCGTCTGTTAGTGATCGTGTAACTTCTGAACGATTTGCTCAATTAAGAGGGCATATGCGATTTGCGTCGAAAACTTCATGTTTTAGGGTTTTTTCAAGGGCGATATCGTAACAATGTGAGCAGATTATTTGCAGAAAATTAGAAGCGGCTTTAGAAGGATGAAGTCTTTATTTAGTGCTCTGCAATGAATAATCATAGTTTTTAATGACGTTTTTTAGAGCGAAGACAATCTCTTCATATAGTGTTTCACGAAAATAGGTCATATTGACAAAAAGTATTTGTTTTGTCGCTGGTGATATAACTTTGCTAGAGGATACGATAGGTGGCGCTGTATAAACAAATTCTATATTTATGGACTGTAATGAGTCGTATTCGCGATATATGTTAATTTAGTGCCAAAAAAGCATTGATTTATTAACTCAATGCAAAAAAGATAATCACAAAATCTCGACTCATAGGTAGTGTCTTAAAACTCTGAGGTGAATTCCTAGTGACGCCTATCACGCCACCTACCGAAAGGAGTAGAACAACGTCTGCCGTGCAAGTTAGTTACTTATTATTATGAGCCCTCTTGTTCTAAGGTAATAATAATAATAATCTTTTAATTTCGACCAACACAGATCATGTTAAGAGGTTAGAGTAAGTCAGCTCAAATTCTAATTTCGCCCCCACTTCCCCCGCGCGTCGTATGCTATGTACCGACATGTTTGTAATCACTAATACTCTAAGTAGATAGGTCGTTAGACACTTATTTCATTAGGTTTATCATATTTATGCCTGTTTCTTAACACCAACCCAGTCGCTTCTTATTTTTATAACGGTTATTTCCCATTTTAATTTTACGTCGTCCTGTTGCGTAATGTGTATTCTGATCGTAAGCGACACAACTTCTCCCTTTAAAAGCCGGAGCGATACTAACGGTGCGACAGGAATCAAGCTTACGCGCCGATAGTTTATGTAATTTCTTTTTACAGTGAAAATAATGGTATTTTAAAAAAAGTAAATAACATAAGCACTGCTTTATAGTTAGTTCAGTTAGTATGCAAAGTTTCATGATCTTATTTAAAGTATTTTATGAATAAAAGCGGTTTATTGTTCAGTTTGGAGGTAACTTTGGATTTTTTTTTTATCGAGAAAATTTTACGGAATCGTGTTTTCGTCTAACATAAACCTTAACATTAATCCTCAACTTTACCATATATTTATTTCAAAATTAATGCTGCAATACTTTCGGCATAACGGAGGATCTTGCTAAGCCATTTGAGGTTATATTTTCCCCTTAAGTTGTTAGTAAAATATAGATGACAACTTAGCCTATTGTTAGTAAATAGGTGTTTATAAAAATAAATAAAAGGAAGATATTTGTGAATAAATATATTTTCTAAGTACATAGTTGACTTCACCTTATAAATAAGCTTTTCTCTTTTTTTATTATTATTACAGGCTGAAGAGAAAAATAAAAAAAAATTAATAGTCAGTGGGCAATTTAAATTTTCGCTACATTAAATTGTCTACGTTAGCGGGTGCAGTCTTTTGTTTTGTAACCTTTGATTGTATATTGTAAGACGATGTTTTGAGCAATAAATATGGCTAGAGCTTTGTATCTACGGATTAATGGCTTATTAACATACAGACGATAAACGAATGGGCTTTATTACGCATTTATATGCAATATTTTGTATTGTGAATTTTATGAATGTACGTTATTTTAGAATGTTAATTGTCCTAAATAACTAATCTTATTTATAGGCTAAACATATAAGTACATGTTTGTCTAAGAAGACAAATAGGTATGGAATGCATAACAGCCTATAGAACTCCACTGCTAATATAGGCCTCCCGCCTAGACCTCATTGAAGAATTTTGCTTTAGTTGCCAAGCTTGGCGGGCGGGTTGGCATCCGCAGGTCTTTATAATTTGGAGTCGTTACTTAGAAGATATTGCTGCCCATCTCCTGCTTCAATTTTTCTCTACCAGTACCCACGAGACGATATAAGAAAGTGGATATTCTTACACTGACACTACTCGTAACACTTTACAACTACGTATTTAACTAACACAAATATGTAAATTATGAGTTTCGAAAAAAAAAAATACCTACATCGTACCAACGCATCAAGACACAAGGAGGTGTGTATGAATTCTAAAAGAAGGAAAAGGCAAAGAAAGATTCCCGCAATAATCCTTTCCGTTAACGTTCCAACCCCCCAAATAAAAACGTATAAACATAATAACCCGTGAACGCTCGCAGACCATCTTAATGCGATTAGGAACCCCCGAGTACATTTGGCTGATATTGTACTCGGCGAAACATTAATATTTTTTATTGTTGTACAGAAGGAAGAAATGACGCGGTAAACAAAAGGGTCATTACGATACCCAGCAGATGTAGCTCGGTTCATTGGAGGAGAGTGCGTTATTTTTGATAATTACTACGTCGTGATGTATCTGATCTTGGTGAAGCTTAATGCATATACCTATAAAATATTTAGATTTTTACCTTTATGCTGAATGTAGTTATTATTTGACAGCAATATTTTGTGGTTGGAACCAAAATATATCAAATAAAAATAATGACTTTCCTGTTTGCTGATTTAATCAAAAAGTATCTAAGGGAGAAAAATAAACTTTTTTATTCAATATAGATTATAAATAGTACTTATGTCACCTCTGGCCTAAGATGAACCAGCAAGAAACCCAACGGGATTTTTTTTAAATATTTAATACAGTTCGGGAGTGTTAGAGTAAGTTCAGAGGCATTATCTGTTCTTAATCTCATGTATGCAATCTCAATTAAATTCAAGGTGTTAGAAGAACTGGATTATGTCTAATAAATCGAAATCTGTAGACCAAAAACTTATTGGGTATTGCAACTCAGGGTTAAGTTAAGTTATAGCCTATTATACATCCCACTGCTGAACACCTCCTCCCACTTCTGAGCGCTTTAGGGCAAGGAAATATCCACCGTGCTGTCCCAATGCGTGTTCGTGGACTTCACATGTCTTCCAATTTTTGTTTTATTTTTCAGACATGCTGGTTTTCTCAAGATGGTTTCACCGCCGTGAACGTGGTAAATCAGCACTTAAAATTGCATTTAACAATTTCATTAGTGCCGGCAGGCATCGAACCCGATTTACTCGCGTACTGTGAAATTTACAGCGAGCGCTAATCTCCTGAGCTACCACGGCTCTTTGCAGTTTAATCGATAAGAATATTATATTAATAATAGGACTCAAAACTCAGCACAGGGACCAATATACTGAGTTCGGTAATAATGGAAAAATAACATTACACTTTGAAATAATCAACTTTGTAAAAAACTAAAAGAATAGTCGGTCTTCAAGGTCCCGTAAATGATTACAAGTGTTATAATCAAGTGGCCTCTTTAAAACATTGTATCGTGGATCTTGCAGTTAAGTGGGTTACATCATTAAAAATTTAACTACTTGGATACTGAAATGTAAACGTAATGTTACTTCTCTATATTTTTTACGTAAATTCACCGATTTCTAGAAAAAAGCTGAACCGATATAAATAACATTTTTAAATAAATAAAAAAATATGGGTCCAACATATAAATTTTAAAAAAAAATTCATCCAAAAGCGTGGCTAAATGGGAATGAATAGGTATGAAGATTTTAATGTAATCGTTAAGATGACAATTTTTTTATAGAATTAGAGCGACAAGCGAGCACACAGATCACCTGATGGTATCTATTCTGCGACATACCTCAAGTTGTGATATGTCTTAGACCACTCTAAAGAGTAAAACAATTTAACTTTCACGGTTTTAAATGTTCGATACATTGTCTAGTCTTAGCACCGACTACTGAAGCTATGTGCCACCAGCTTTACTGTTCAGTTGACAGGGTCGCTAGTGGACAGCTTGCCACTTAAGAAATTTACCGAGGCAATAGGTGACTACATATAAATAATATATATATATATATATATATATATATATATATACATAGGCTGCACTAAAAGTATCGGGAATGGAATATTTCCACTGTTCCTATCATATTAAAATCTTTTTAATTGAAAACTCCTTGGTTTTAAAAATCGATTACCATTTATTTATTTAAAAAAAGATTCTCGATCTTGTCACAAGGTTTTGTCAAACATGTTTAGTCGTTGAGAAAATGGAATTGACTCGAGAAAATTCAAGAGCGATGATTTATTATGACTTTCCAAGTGGTTTAACACAAAAACAGTGTGTTGACCGGATGATTTCTGCATTTGGTGATGAAACCCCATCCAAAACCACAATTTATCACTGGTTTGCTGAATTTCAACGTGGACGTGTCTAGCTCAATGATGATCCCCGTCAAGGTCGTCCGCAAACTGCAGTCACCCCAGAAAACGTTGATGCTGTGCGTAAGCTGATTGAGGAAGATCGACATATGACATACCGCGAAATTTAGGCAACTTTGGACATTGGCATGAGTCAAATACAAATA